TATATATATATCCGTAAATCAAGGAAGTAATAAAAACTTGCGCCAACTGTTCCATACAATTAATAAACTAAACTCACAAAGGGCATGACTGCACATACATGCCTTTGCCACACGAAGCAGGAGCGATTCAGTGAATGCGTAATTCTGTCTCTCCTCAGGGAAGTTCCAGGGCCTTTCTTGCGAGTCTGATTTCGACAACTCATAACCCACCGCCACTATGCCGGCCACGTCGTGAAGAGCACGGGTCCCGACCCCCCCCACCGAGTTCCTGTTCATCTCGGCTGAACAGCGAATGCTCGACCAGACCAAGCCTTACGATCCCAAGAAGTCTTGCTGGGTCCCTGACGATAAGGAGGGCTTCGTTGAGGGCTTGATCCAGGGCGCCAAGAGGTGACAAACTATCAGCGTCCAACTGAAGAGCGGTGAGGTCAAGACTTCAAGACGGAAACTGTGGTTCAGGTCAACCCTCCCAAGTATGAAAAGTGCGAAGATGTGTCCAACTTGACCTTCCTCAACGATGCTTCTGTCCTGTACAACTTGAAGAGCCGTTACCAGGCCAAGCTGATCTACACCTACTCTGGCCTCTTCTGCATCGCCATCAACCCCTACAAGCGTTACCCCATCTACACCAACCGCACCGTCAAGATCTACCAGGGCAAGAGGCGCAATGAGGTGCCTCCCCATCTCTTCGCCATCTCCGACGCGGCCCTACATGGACATGTTGCAATGTAAGTTACATTTTTGAAATATAATATTGATAATCATTTAGCATTATAGAGTTTTGTTTTTTCTTTATTCAATATTTTCATGAAATTAAGCAAGTTCCGATATTACTATTTATATATGAGTAACACAGAAAGTAAAAGTTTAACTCAAGAGTTTGATTTTGTTAATAAATCACTCATATTCTCATAACTCATTTTCAGCTGCCGTGAATCAGTCTATGCTTATCACGTAAAGTAACAATGTAATCTAGTTTTCTCAAAACATTCCAGCAAATATACATTATAAAAATCCACACACAGATACATGGGCACTGCATAGTGTTTTATTAATATTTTTTCTGCGTTTTTCTTCCACTTGTATATAATATATAATATATATATATATATATATATATATATATATATTATATATATATATACATATATATAAATGTGTGTGTATGTGTGTGTTGTGTGTGTGTGGTGTGAATGTATGTGTATATGTGTGGTTGTGTGTGCGTATATACTTATACATAAACATATATATACAATATATACACATAAAATATATATGTATATATGACGGATACAGTATGTATGTAAACCTCTCCGATCGGGATTCGATCCCGCGCCGCCAATGCACGTGAATGCAAGACGGCCGCTTACCACTCGCACAACGACCCAACAAAAAAAGGAGCAACTAGGCGCTTACTAGCATCCATAGACATTACCTACTACTCATACATGAGTACGGATAGCGAAGTTTCACACTCACTCCCCGTGGGCACTCGGTAAAAATGCGGTTTTGCATTATTCCATCTTCCATGTATGTATGTATACAAACACACACACATGTTTATATGTATGTCTATGCTTGTATGTGTGGTAACGAAACTGCCTATAATTTAAAGGTTTTGTTTGTCGCCGCTATATGTACGTATATAAGTGTTTCCTAGAGCCGATTATAAATTTCAGTTCTCTTTCTGTCGCCTTGATCTATATAGCACACGCACATACTGTTTTGAAATACAAATAGAGACTGTGTCTGTAAATATATTTATGTAACTGTGCTTGTGCATGCTTATATCAATCTTTACATAGATGCCAACACTTTTCCCCCCAGTGGCGAGTCTGGCGCCGGAAAGACAGAGAACACGAAGAAGGTGTTGTCTTACTTCGCCAACGTCGGCGCCACCACCAAGAAGGACGACGAGAACAAGCCGGTAACTTAACTTTCATAACACATTCTGTTAGTGATTGTAGTGCACATATACATTTATTAAAAAATTATCATTAGTGCACATTGCACAAGTAAAAAACAATCACGTGAATATCAGATACCACTCAAATCGTTCTTGCATGCAGAACTTGGAGGACCAGATCGTGCAGACCAACCCTCCGCTGGAGGCTTACGGCAACGCCAAGACCACCCGTAACGACAACTCCTCTCGTTTCGTAAGTATCACGTATGGCTAATTTTCTGCCCTATACGCCCAAACACATATGCAAAGCAATATAACGAGCACGCGATTGTGTAAAAGTATTGTCCTTTATCGTATGAAATATGTTTTTCTTTTCTTATTCAGGGTAAGTTCATCCGCATCCACTTCGCCCCCAACGGCAAGCTCTCCGGTCTGACATCGAGGTGTACCTGCTGGAGAAGGCTCGCGTGGTGTCCCAGGCCCCTGCCGAGCGTGGCTACCATATCTTCTACCAGATGATGACCGACCAAGTCCCTTACATTAAGAGTAAGTCAAATATTGCCAGGTTTCATGTACATCTCTAGAAAAAGTATC